ATATATCATAGAGTACAGTATAGTTGTATACTACGTACACATAATTTATTTTAGTTTCTCTTTATTGTATTTTCCATTCATTTCCATGATGAGTATATGAGTGTGGTTTTATAGTAAGAAAATAATATTTTTAAAAAAACAATTCATTTCCCTTCCAAAATTCAGCCTTTTTTCTGAATTTCTAGTGATGCCAATGGCATCATCATTCTTGCTCATCCATAATCAAAACCATTTTATATTCATCTCCCTGACACATATATACTTTTATCTAAATATCAAGTTTTGTGAATTTGTTTCTATTCTGCACCCCACTGAGAGATTCATCTTTAATTTTTTTTTTCAAATCAATTTCTATGCTGAAAACCTGTCCCATGCAGAAGGGAGAAGTTTTGGGGTTCTGATTTGCATGTAGTTAGACAGTAGAGGCATGTTCAGTTTGTGAAAATTTATCCACTTCTATACCTATGATTTATACTGTATTGAGTGTATGTTATACTTTGATAAAAAGCGAACAAGCAAATCAAAACAAAAATCTGCATCTTACCTACAAGGTAAATTCCAAAATCCTTAGCTTAATATTGAATCCTTCTATAATCTGATCTCAATCCTCCTTAACCAGGATCATCTCCAATATACCTCATCATAAAACCTGCTAATAGCATTGACTATGCGGTCCTTAAGCACTTTATATCAATTGTCTCATTTGATTATCCTAGTCCTCTGGAGTATGTACCAGAATTATCCCCATTAAACTAATGAAGATATGGAGACTGAGTAAGAGTAAATTACTTGTAGTTGTGGAAATTTACTAGCTTTGTCCACTTAGTATGCATTGCATTATTTTCTGGTAATAGCTCCCAGTTTCATAACCTAGAAGATCTGTCATTCAAGGTAATTTGCTCTCTTCAGCCAAAGAATAGAGTGAGACTTTTCAGATACTCTTACTGGATACAAATTTCAAGAGCAATAATAAATAGGGTGACTATAGCAGCATATTGCGAGAATGCATATTAGTTTCTGCTACAAACCCACCAGAGACTCCAGGTTCCTGCCATTGGAGCAAGATTCCATTTAAGTCCCTTAGTTACCCCATATCCAGGGACAAATTCGTTCCTTCCCTTCTCTTCTCTTCCCTTTCAACCTCCCTCTCCACCCTCTTTCTCTTTCTTTTGCATAAATCAACCAAAGTATGTTTCTATTGCCTACAATCCAAGGAATTGAATGTGACACTTGCTCTAGAGTATTCAGCCAGAACATGTGTTAAGTGCTGAAATTTGAACTTAAGTCTAGATAACTCCAAAGTTTGTTTTCTTAACCGTTATATTTTATACTGTGACTGCAATGCTCAAGTGCACCTCTGGTTATTACTGCTTGAATGCATACGTATTCAATGTTATCCAATTTTGCACAAGCTACTTTCTCTACTAAGATAGGCTTTCTTGAGGCGCCTGGGTGGCTTGGTCAGTTAAGCGTCCGACTTTGGATCAAGTCATGATCTCACGGTCCGTGAGTTCGAGCCCCGCGTCAGGCTCTGTGCTGACAGCTCAGAGCCTACAGCCTGTTTCAGATTCTGTGTCTCCCTCTCTCTCTCTGCTCCTCCCCTGTTCATGCTCTGTCTCTCTCTGTCTCAAAAGTAAATAAACGTTAAAAAAAATTTAAAAAAACTAAGATAGGCTCTCTTTGCTTTTCTTTTCCTCCCAGTTCTACTGAAATCCTTCCACTGACCATCAGAGTACCCACTTCCTCTAAAATATTAAATTCTTTAAACCATAGAGACACTCTCCTTATGACAATTATTATTTACTGGTGTAATTTGAGACAGAAGGATCAAAGCCAAGAATAACTCTTTAGCTTGAAAAACCACCATTGGTTCCCTATGACTTGCAAGATAAAATCTAAACCTCAGAACTTCACATGCAAAGCATTTTTCAGCCTGGTCCAAATCTACCTCCCTAGTTACATCTATGCTACTTACTCCTTTCCTCCTTCTCCTCAGCCTACAAGGGCTTCCTCTCCAGCTACACAAATCAGCCTCTTCTCATAATCAGGTGTAAATCTGTTAGCCTTTTACACATAATGCCCTAACAAACTTTATTGTAAAGCTTCCTTGTGACAAATCTTTTTTACATTTTCTTGTATCCTCCTCCTCCTTGTAGCTAAAGTGGTATTTATTTATTTATTTATTAGATTTATTTATTGAAATAAATCTAATAAATAAATAAATAAATCTGAGTGAATTAACATACAGTGTAGTATTGGTTTCAGGAGTAGAACCCAGTGACTTATCACATATAACATCCATTGCTCTTCTCAACAAGTGCCCTTAATGCCCATCACCCATTTAGCCCATCCCCCCATCTTTCCTCCCCAATGTTGATAGCAGTACTATCAACAATAACCAAATTATGAAATGTCCATTCACTGATGAATGGATAAAGAAGATGTGATATCTATAGATATAGATATATAGACATAGATATAGATATAGATTAGATATATATAACAGAATGCTACTCAGCAATCAAAAAGAATGAAATCTTGCCATTTGCAACAACATGGATGAACTAGAGTGTATTATGCTAAGCGAAATAAGTCAAGCCTAGAAAGACAAATATCTTCTGATTTTCCTCATATGCGGAATTTAAGAAACACAATAGATGAACATAGGGGAAGGGAAGGAAAAATAAGATAAATGCACTGTCTTGCATCCTTGCACTGAAATGCACTGTCTTGCATTGAAATATTTACTTTCATGTGTGGTGTAGAGCAAAACAGACACCATTCAGGCAGTGAAAAAACCAGATTAGTTAGCCGCTTCTGATCTGAAGAGTTTACATAACTTATTACTCTATTTTTATAGCTAGGAATTCTAATTAATTTATTAATTATGTGGAAAGTGTATGGGGAGAATGGCTGTTAACATGATAAATCTGAGTTACCCTCAAAGGAGCAATTACTCATTCTATAGAGAAATCATACTATATCATTGTTTAAATCCACAAATAAATATTATAACAGAAACAGTGAAAAAAAATTCACATTTTTTGACAATTTATTAAAACAATGCCGAAGCTTATGTCATCATTAGTGATATTTTGCCTCAAGGCTTTTGGCTCTTTGAACACAACATCATGTTGTACAAAATACAATGGAATATTTTCCTATAGGTTAGAAGGAGTATGGTGTAAACTGCTGGAAATAAGTTATCTGAGAATAAATATATTAGGAGATACAGAATGCCTTTTGTATGCTTATAAAGAAAGAAGACATCAGATGCCTAGAACTTGATGTTAACAGTTTATATAGTAAATGCAACACCTCAACTTGTCCTTGAAGCACAATGACTTTTAACACAAGACTTAAGCAGTCAGTCATAGCTTCTTTTCTCTACTTTAAGAGAAGGTGGAACACGTTTGCTGCTTTCTTACTTTGGTACTGATTCAAATAAATATTGGTGTATTTTGGGTTTCTAGATTTTTGGGGCATGGGGGTTGAGCATGGGACTTCTTTGCAACCGTGTCCCCAGATGTTAGGACTTTTTCCACTCTGCATAGAAATATGAATATATTTATATATTGGAGTGACACTTCTACAGGAAGCCTAGAAACCTATCTGTTTACTACATGTCACTGAAGTTGAAGTGTAAGTGTGGGTAAATTTCACTTCTTGTTTAGGCTTTAGGAATATAATTACTCAGTGTTAGACAATAAGAAATGGAAAACACTTAAGTGGCTTTCTTATACCTGAATCTGTTGATTTTGTTTTGTCAATGAGGGCTTTCATTAAGAGCCATTGAAGGTTAGTCTCTCTCAATTGATGTAGTGGTAACAATTTACTCTCTCCTGCCATAGTAAAGATAGAACCTGTCCTTCAATCTGTTTGTGGTAGAGATTTTTTTTTTTTTAAAGTATAAACATTGAATTCCTCTGCTTATTTGGAGATGGAAGGTCATTAACAGGGCACTTGAGCAGATTGGAATTACAGTCAATTGAGACGCTGAAACATCCTAAATGGCCTAATGCAGCAACTAAGTGCTTCTTAAATTCCAAAACTTTTACTTGAGCACAGCAATCATGAGTTTCCACTGCCTTTAGTAAATACTGTTTTTTATAGTTTTGTGTGAGGAAGCAACACAAATTTAAATTACTGAGTTCAGATTTTTTTGCTTACCCATATTCATTCGTCAAGATGTAAATGTGAAATTAGATTCTAACTTAATTATATGGTTAAATCTTGAAATTAATAGAAAAGTTAGTAAAAAGTAATTTAGTGGTACAGCTAATGTCACTGCAATTTACTTGAACTGTTTGAGATTTTATATTAAGTTTGTACTGTTATAGCCATACATATGGAGAATATGTATATATGTATGTGTATTTCTTTTCTAGCTTATAATCTCTTTAATGTTGGTTTAACTCCTAGAAAAATGAAACTCATTTCCAGCACACAAAGATAAAAAGATTTTTGTGGTTCAAGGTAGAGAATGGACTACAGAATATAAAGAAAGAAAACCCAACATGATACACTCAAACATTAATAGGTTACAGATATCAGATTTATAATTCCAGTGAGCAAACACTAGGAAACGTGCTACAGAAATCCCAAAGAGCCACTGATGGAAGAATATGAGGCCCAGAGGACAAATAAAAGAGCCATTTTTGAGTTAACAAGGACATCAGTTCCCCCATTTTTTTCTTTAAATGTTCTACTTAATTTTTCTTCTTTTTTTTTTATTTTTTTGATGTTCTACAAATACATTTTATGCATTTTTCTCTTCGTTGCACCTTTGATCTTCATGCCATAAAAGACAAAGACAATTAAAGGGAGGGAGCCAAGAAAGCATTGTGGAAGTGTCAGCAGCAATCATGTTTATCTGAGGCCAGACAAAATACAGCATATGAAAAAGATGCATATCTAAAGTTCTACCATAAATAACTCTAGTAGATATAACAATGAATTACTAAGAAGAGTTGCATCTTAGTCCTGGTATCATCACTCACCAACAGTAAGATCAAGGTCTTTTGACTTTTCTTGCCTTGGCGTTCCACATCTGCTAAATGGAAGGATCTCATTAGATGACCTGTGAGTTATAGACAACTCTAAAATCTATGATGTTAGGTGAACTTAAAAGTTGCTGAAATTATTTCTTTGTCATTTATTCAACAAATTCAAGTTGCTAATGAAAATAAGTTAATAGGATTTTTGATAATTACTACAGTATGAATTCGAGAATGCAGTCTCTGTTAACAACAATGATGGAATAAGCGAGACAGGGAGAAGGGTAGGTTGTGAGGAAGGCATATTTAGTCTTACAATACGAACTCAAAAACTGAAATGATATACAGTGATAGGCACTGTATTGATAATAGTTCAGCGCTGTGAGTTCTTGAAAGGCTGAACTTTTGGAGATGGAAACTGTGAGCTAGGAAACAGGATGCCAGTGGTACAGGTGTAGACATCTTTCTGAGATCAGAGTTAAATGGGAGGCAGGAAATGAGGTGGCAATTAAGTAATCGACTGCTGTCAAGATTAGATTTTTTTCAAGACAGTCTAGGTCAAGGTCAAAGGTAATGGCAGGGCTGAACAAAATAAGAATCAGATTTTTTTTTTCCATTTCCTAGATAAATATATCTGAAAAACTTCTATAGATTTTATTCTGGGGCAGCAATGCATATTTTGTAAACACAAATTTTCAAGCCTCATACTAGTAAATAATATGTTTGAGACTCACTTGTGCATACCTGGCATGGCCCCAGAATAGTACTGAGAAAACAACACCTCTTTTATCATGCTTGGGTACAAAGTCTACCAAATAATAATACGCATTTTTTGAAATGACTAAATATATACTTACATAGCAGACTATTCAAAGCCATTATAGAGTAGTAAGCAAATAATAAATGTTCAAAAGTCCATAACTACACATTCATGTAATATACAGCTGTCACCTTCAATAGATTAAATAATGTAACTTCTCAACCATGGTTCTTTAACCAGTATCTGTAACAGCTTAAATAGATAACTTTTAAACCTAATCTTGAATATGTAGAGGAAAAAGGTATTTACCTTTCTTATGTAGAAGTTGTTGCAATTACTATTTAACTGTTTGTTGCAACAACATTTAACTGTTGTTTGCAAAACATTTTGATTTTGAATGCTATTGTTGTAAAATGTTATTAACTTTTTTAATGTTTATTTTTGAGAGAGAGAGAGAGAGAGAGAGAGAGAGAGCAGGGGAAGGGCAGAGAGAGAGGGAGACACAGAATCTGAAGCAGACTCCAGGCTCTGAGCTGTCAGTGCAGAGCCAGATACGGGGCCCTAACTCAAGAACTGTGAGATCATGACCTGAGCAGAAGTTGGATGCTTAAGCAACAGAGCCACCCAGATGCCCTGTAAAATATTACTTTATTGCATATAAAATATATAATAATGAAAATTGCTCATAAAATAAATTATTGAAGGACAAAGAAAGACCATCACTTTTAATGTGTTCATTGATAATCAGTAGGGATTTGCTTAAAACAAAATGTTTTTGCTGATGATGTGAACTTGACCCACTCCCTACCAGTAGATATAAAACAGGAATTTACTTTACACGGAACTGTGGTTGTTATCTTCAATAATTCAAGAGGATATGTTTCCAGAAAAATTTTAATGGGTGATAAGGTACTTACTTAGATCTTAAAATATTTTAAACTATATTTAAGAAATTCATTTTATCATTTCATTGTTGGGATTTGTGGATAACTCTATTCATATTTCATATTAGTAAGTCAACAGATCATGATAACTTTCTGTATTTTATCAGGTCTCCATTCTTGCTCCAGTAGACAGCTGAACATTTCTTAGCACTCTCTGAAGGTAAAATAATCATATTCACTGCATTACCTATCTGTAAGTCTGTGTAGCAAACAATGACAGGAAAAGGTTAAAAAGTTATGGGTTGTTTTCAATGCTTTCTTAAGCATTGTGTCATTTTGTTTTACTACTATTTCAGACAAAACCCTGGTTGTAGTCCTAGGTGGTGGTTTGGCAGTACATAGTTTATGCAAGTTGTAAACATCATAAAAAAAAAATCAGTCTTAGGGGCGCCTGGGTGGCGCAGTCGGTTAAGCGTCCGACTTCAGCCAGGTCATGATCTCGCGGTCCGGGAGTTCGAGGCCCGCGTCGGGCTCTGGGCTGATGGCTCAGAGCCTGGAGCCTCTTTCCGATTCTGTGTCTCCCTCTCTCTCTGCCCCTCCCCCGTTCATGCTCTGTCTCTCTCTGTCCCAAAAATAAATAAACGTTGAAAAAAAAAATCAGTCTTAGCAGTAAAGCACATCCGCCTGATGCATCTCTGTCAGAGTAGTCCCTCCATCTTTCTATCTCTCTGCTACTTGGAGTTGGCCTAATTTAAACCTACCTGTAAAACACAGGAAATGTTGTTCCTTAAGTTAAAAATGCTTTTAATTTGTGAGAATCATAAACCCTTCCCAACACCAATATCAGACTGCAAGAGGCTTTGCTTCTATTTAGGGAGGAAATTAAAGCTTTGGTGAAAGATTCATCTCAACCACCCATTCATTCTCTGAACGTCTGCTTTCTTTCTCCTACTCCCTTAGCCTCTTTCTTTCTAGTGGTGCCTTTGCTCAGTCTAAAAACTTTTCCAATTCTCTTGCACTAAAACTATTTTCTTTCATATATCTTTTGGCATTCACTATATTCTTTCCCTCCCACCCACACTTACTGAACAATTGGTTTCATCTCAGATGTCTATTACCTCATCCCACATTCATCCTTCAACTGCTTGCAACCTAACTTCTGTCCCCATCACTCTGAGAGACTATTTGTGCTGAGGTCACTGGGGATCAAACCCAATGTACAGTTCAATCTTTATCTTACCAGACGGTTCTTTTTCAGTGAATACTAATGATGACCTTCTTTCCTGAAACTTTTCTATTCCCTAATATTCCGTGACACTATACTCACTTGGTTCTTCTTTTCCTGTCTCATTCATTTAGTTTGGCCCTTACGTAAGTGCTATTAAACATTACATCCATGATCATGATTTCAAGCATACTCAACCTATGTGTAGATGATTTCCAAGTCTCTATCTCCAGCCTATATTTAATTTGTACTTTATTTAGGCTACATATTCTCAGTTGCAAACACCCCCTAGAGCGTCAAACTCAACAGAACTGAAAGGAAACTTACTTTCCCCCCCCGCTTAAAGGAGTTCATATCCTATATTTTCTGCCTAATTTGCCTGGATCAATTTCTGTTCCATCACTTAAGCTTGAAGCCTAGTTCTTGACTTCTTTCACTCTCTTTTTCTCTCCACATTTGAAACCTTAAAGTATTGTATTTCAGCAATTATAGATGTAGATTTCACATTTTAACATCTCTGAAATCAGGATACATCTCAATAAGCAACAATTAATGTATTGTTATAGTTTGATTAGCAGAGATTTTATTCCCTCTTAGTGGCACAAAGAGAAATGTTGTATACTATGGTTCAGCCCATGGTGCCTTACATTAGATGAAATACAGTACTTAATAAATCTATCTCAGTATCTCCAACTGCACTACTATTCCTAGAATTCAAAAGCCTTCCTGCCTTCTGTCTAACAATTTTATTCATTATTTTCAACATTTTGAGAGTCTTGTGTTTATAATGCAATCTGATTATGGAATTGTTCTATTTTAATCTTTCAGTTACTCCCTATCACCTGGGGACTAAAGCCCAGTTATTTACATGGATTCAAAGCTGCCCATGCTCTAATCCCTAATTTTCCACATCAGTCTCCTAGGGAAAGATCTTTTCTCTTGTGCTCCCTCTCCTTGAAAGCTTTCCCTTCACACACATGATGAACATACCTCTTTAAGACTCAGCATCTAGGAAAGGAGACACTTTATCTAAAGAGGATTAGATGCCCCACAATAATTTAGGCATATCTACATCATTGTGCTTCCCTCATGTACCACGAGTTTTATCAATCTGCCTCCTTGACAGTGTTTTTTTTTTTTGAGGGCAGATTCTATATTAATTTTTGTATCTCTGGAACCCAATATAGAACCTGGAACCTGGAAGAATCATCGTAGCTATTTATTGACTAAAAATACTGAATGGGATATATCAGTGGAAAAATGAAAGTTAAAACATTGATGAAAGATATGATTGCTCATGAATAACACATGATTGGAAAATAAAAGTTTAAGAATTCTGGAGAACACGCATATTTAAGGGGTGTACAGAGGAAGATGTGCCTAGAAAGGAGACTGTGAAATAGAGAGTAGAGATCCATAATCTTGATTGAATTAGTGGTGGCATAGAATCTTATCTTGTTCTGTCAACCATAGTTGTCCTTCCCTCCCAAACTCCCATAATCACTCCATCCCTATTCCTCATCCATCTGCCCTGATGAGTTGATGCCTGAGCTATGGTCTGAAGGATGTTAATCAGATTCAGAGCAAAGGAAAGAATATTTCAGGCAAACAGTCTGGCGTCTGCAAGTTTCCTGTGCATGGCTGATGCGGAAAGGTGTGGGTGAGTATAAAATGAGGCTGGAGTGGTCACGATCTCGCGGTCCGTGAGTTCGAGCCCCGCATCAGGCTCTGGGCTGATGGCTCGGAGCCTGGAGCCTGTTTCCGATTCTGTGTCTCCCTCTCTCTCTGCCCCTCCCCCGTTCATGCTCTGTCTCTCTCTGTCCCAAAAATAAATAAACGTTGAAAAAAAAAATTAAAAAAAATGAGGCTGGAGAGTAACTGGGGCCAGAGAATGCAAGGCCTCCTGAATCATATTCTGGAATTTTTCCCTTGGTGCCATGGAAAGTCAGAGGAAGGTTTTGACTCTTAGCACAGGAGGTCATGTGATACATTTCCTCCAGGTCATCCTGTCTTGATTGGAAGGGAACTAAAGTGGACATAGGAGAACAATTAAAGGAAATCAGTAAAGCATAGAAAAAGGAAACAATGGGGCACCTGGGTGGCTCAGCTGGTTAAACACCTGACTTTGGCTCATGGCATAATCTTGCAGTTTGAGAGCTCAAGACCCACGTCAGGCTCCTCTGC